TCTAATAGCTAAATAATTTATTTTGTGCGCACTCCTTTATATGTGGAGTCAAATATACTTAATTTAATGTGATAACCAATACAATACTGTTTATTATACTGGTTTCTAGTTTTTTTAAAAAAAAAATTATACTTAAAATTGTCAAAAAAAGAGTGAAAAGTCTTAATCAAAATTTAAAATAACTTTAAAAAATTATATCTATTTTTTTTTTTTAAAAACGACCGTTGTAAGGCTTGCTCATTTTATATTATAATAATTTCTTTTAAATTATATCATATAAAAAAATTTATACATAAATTTGTTTAATTAATAAATAATTATATTATGTTTTAATTAATATTAATAAATAATTTAGTTTCAATTATAAAGATTATTGTTTTATATATACAATATGGATGTCAATCGAAGCTCGTCAGAAAATTATTAATTTAATATATTATATATATATAATCGATAAAAAATTTAAAAGTTATTTACTTTATAATATATTTGTATTTAAGTTAACCAAATGCTTTATAATTCAAAATTCTTAATATATAGGCATGGATAGCTCGAATCACCAGAAATTGTTACATAAGATTACAAAGTACCAAAATTTGACATGTAAGTTTCCGAAGCATAAGAAGTTGACATATAGGCTCGAAAAACTCTGCATTATCATATAGGGAGAGATAGGCTTCAAATCTTATAGGATAATATATAATTAATTAATTATTGTAAAACTCTCTTTGTCATGTATACATGTAGTGTTACATATAAATGCAAAGTTTTTCAAGTTTAATTTTTCAGTTCAGCCCATGTGTAAAATACAAGTATGAGTACTTCACTATTTATATAAAATGTACGCAAATTCGTGTATGAAGTAGCATAATGCGTAAGTCGATCCTTTTTTATTAAACTTATGGCCCTCGAGCCTCCCCACTGGAGGTTATGCCGACCTTGTGTTTGTTAGTGCCTTACCCGAGCTCGTTGTTCGAGGTAGCATCTTTGCGCACCTGAGCTCGTTTGCTCGAGGTAGCATCTTGGGCTCATTATTCAAGGTGTCGAGGTAGTATCTTTGGCTCATTATTCGAGGTGTCTTCCCTGGGCAGCTGAGCCTGTTGCTCAAGGTGGCTTCTGATCTAGGCACTTGAGCACTCGAGCTCGGTCTTGAACTCAAGGAACTCGAGCACGGCCGTAGCAAGCTCTCCATATATGCGTTATTAGACTCTGAGTACTGGGATTTGGACCCGAGCTCAAGGGAGCCCGAGCTCTCCAGACACGCTCACTAGGCTACAAATACGAAGACGCTCTAGAGTTGAAGGAACTCGAGCACCGCGTAGTGAGCTCTCCATACAAGAGTTGCTAAGCTACAAGTATAGGGACTCATGCCCGTCAGCTGTGAATGAATCTAAACTTCAGATTTACAAAAAAAAAAAATAAAAAATTACAATGATTTTTAGATTTACAGATTTAACCAAAACTTTCGATATTTGCGTGTCTGTTATGCACGTCATATAGGAAGTTTCCCTCTACACGACAAGTACTCCCTCTAAGAACCGGTGACTTCACTATCCAGTAAACTTTCACCACAGATGCTATTATTAGGCTGCATAATAGAATAACTGGCAAACTTCCACGGACGAAATCCAAAATAACTTGTCTTCTTCCATGGCCCGTTGAGGTTCCACATTCTGCCCAATTTCGGCTATTTACTAGAAGAAGCACGTTCGGATGCCAATATACATTCGCATAATTTTTGCGCGGTTGGATTATGCTCCCTTTCCCATATCAAGGGTTCAGTATTCAAAGCATTCTTTGAAGAATTGCATGGTTTAAAAACAGAAAGGGAAAACGAAGAAAAACAATAACCAAAATGCTTCGCGTTCTAGAGTTTGCAACATCCAAAATCCAAACGATGCAATCCATTAATTTTCACGGCAAACTCATAAGGGGAAAAAGGAGAAGAAATAACACAGGCCAAACAATCTCTGAACGCTGATAAAGAAATTATATTTAAGTTATGAAATATCTCCAAGAGTCATACATCTACCATTCTAGCGTTAAATCGAGCCTACAGCTCAAATTTTCACTACCCAGGTGAGTAATAAATATAGGTACTACTACCTCAAAATAAATTAAATGGGCGGCCCACAATGCGTGAGAACCCCTCGCCCATTAATTAAAAAAAAAAAAAGTTATCACTGACCTAGCGAAAACCCGTCAGGAACAACTATCTCCACCAACCGAATCCCACATTAGCAAATCGAATCACTTCACTGCCCAAGAGACATTTTTACGAAACAGTGCCTGTAAACAACAACCAAACACCAAAAAAAAAAATTAGCAGAATGAGTATATATACCTTACAGGGTAAATAGACAGTATTCTTTTTTTGTTTTAAAAGTCGAAACTCACTACAAAAACCATTACGCGGCCTCTTGCTGGACACGATATCCGAGAATGAGTCAACCAGCTGGCCAGCCAAGCTCTTCGGGTCGTCAATCAGCGTCTGTATAAATGTGTTGATCACCCTCCTCTCTTGCTCGGTCGATCTCAGGCTGAACCACGTCAGCAGTTTCAGTCTAAAATACTTCTCGATATACCCCTCGCACTCCATCCACCGTATGATCTTCACGCAGTCCTCAAAGTTCTCGTCCAGGCTGCCCGAGTCGTTAGTCAGGGTGCTATCCGAGTCATGAATCTCACCATTGTTGGCCAAACTGTGCTTCCTCTTTCCAGAACCGGGCAATCCCGAGTCGACAGCTGGCACCTCCTCGTGTTTCCTATGGATTTCATGTGACAAGGCATCGTCATCTGCCTCTGATTCCACGAGGGGCGTGAACTCCTCGTTTAGGTCGGGTACGGAGGCCACATTCAGGTCCAGCTGGCGGGACACAGAGAACGAATTTTTTACCGGAGCCTCTGTTTTGGCATCATCGTGGGGCCCAAGGGTATTTTGGACATTTGGCCTGCAGGAGCACTGCTCCCGAGCTAGGGCAAGCCTAAGTATCCGTCCAAGGTCTCGGACTTTGAACCCCAGGTCAGATTCCACGTCCGTCTGGGCATTGGGGCAGTGCTTAACACTAGGGCCAGGGGCATTTACGTCATTTCTGTAATCTCTGTGAATGATCTCAACACTCTTTGTGAAGAGCTTGACCTCCGAGTGCCCATAGTCGCCGGATTCTGTGTAGGAGACTACGCGGATGGAATACTCCGTGCAGGGCTGCAGGTTAGATATCCAAATCCTCCTCTGGTTCCAGGGTAAAGTTGAGGCGGGTTCTTTTGGGTAGTTCTCGTCCTTTGATTTGCAGTACCAGAGTTTGAAGCCCTTGATGCTGTCATGCGACGAATTTGATAATTCGATCAATAATACGACGATTGAAGATGATGTAACTTCCTCAAACAGAAATTTGCAGGCCGCGGGAAGTGAACCTTCTGCCAGGGGTGATAAAACGGTCAACGTAGGCAGCAGAAAACAATTTCACAGGTTAATTTCAAAACAAAAAATAAAATAAAATAAAATAAAAAAATAAATAAACTACCCCTGAAATTTAGCAAAAATTACCACGGAATTAAGTTGATTCTCAATATTACAGAAATGCCACTAGATGTTTTGAGATTGTAAAATGGATGCAAATATCTGGCTTAATTTAAATGTAACTGGACTATTTATTTGATTTATTTATTGGTGATACTGATTAGGAGAGGCTTGGAGAGAAATTCTTGTAATTAACACAACTTTAATGTAAAACGTGATTACCAGTTAAACTAGATGCAGTGGTCGACTTTAAGGCAATCAACTCATCAGCTTTTTCAACCGCGAGAGAGCAGAGCCTCTGTGCATCGACTGCTGCAGAGAGTCTACTGACAATACCTCGGGCCATCTTGGCCGAAACCCCATCCACAGGGCCCACCTCGGTTTCCAACTTGTCTTTTGCTTCTTTGATAAATTCATGAAGCTCGTGAAACCTGGAAGTCCCATCCAGAAGCCTGTAACTCAAGAATATTCTATAACACAGCACGTCAACACGTCTGGCGTCCTTAGCTACAATCAACTGCTTCTTCCAGCATCTGTAGCAATGGTACAGTTGGCAAAGTCTCAGCCACACATTTTAAAGGAATATAAAAATAACTTCTCCATCATCTTGTATGTCTTTCAAGTGAAAACAAGATAAAAAGTTTGTGTTACTCACTAAAAACAAGCTGGTTATATCCAATATATGCCATCAGGTGGTTCTATTTCCATTTGAGCAAACATTACAACCCAGATAAAACAGGGGTTGTATGTAGCACAATCAGAGCATCACCAAGAACAAGAACATAAAATGAAGCAAATTTTGTAAAACTTCTACAACTTTTAACTAATTTTGTTTAAC